CTGACGAGGAGGAAGCTGCAGCAGCAGCGCCTGGCGGGTTTCCCCGCGGTGATCCGCGACTGGCGCTACTCCTAATCGTCGGCACCCAGTTGCCTCTAGACATAGCACCTTCGTCTGACCTTTTGGAACGGGCCGCCAAAGGCGAAGCTGGCGCAGGGGCATACCCTGTGCGCTCGAAAGCCGCCGCCTTCTTGGCAATGGAACTGCTACGACTAGGCGGGCGTCTCCGTTCCTCCACAGGGTCCTGAGGTTGTTGCTTGGGCTCAGATACTTGTGCTGGAGTTGCGCCAATAGGCGATCTCGGAGTTTCGGAACGAGGCGCCTCCATCTGCACATCTGGCCCAGGATCCTCAGAGCGTGCTTTCGGTCTCACGTCCGAAAACGACTTCGGTGCTGGAGTTTCACTCTTAGCCTTCGATTGTAGTGGGAGCGGGGGTTTCTTAGCCCCCTTCATGTAAATCCTTTTGGAATCCTCCAACATCTTGAGAGTTGCCTCGCGTGCGCGCTCGTCTGCTATCCTCATGCGTTCCTCGTCCTCCGCCACGCGTTGGGCCTTCTGTTCATCCTTGGATGTCGGTTCTGGTTGTTGGGACTGACTAGAAACGCCGGGCGAGTTTCCTCGCATACCAGGAAGACTAAGGAGCGCGTCTTTCTCTTCCTGGGTCATGGGCACCAGTCCTCCCCTTGGAACCGGGGCAGATTTCTCCTCTTCCTCTTTCGGATCCAAGTGGCCCAGGATCCCGAGACGACGATTCACTTCTGCGATCTCGTCCTGTGTCATCGGGATAAGTGGCGGATGTCCCTCTTTATGAGGGGTTTTGCCCCTGTTGGGGCTCAGACCTTCATTGTTGCCAACGGGGCATCCCGGCCTGTGGTTCTGGAACGGCTCGGAACAAGGTCCGCAAGCTGCTTGAGGCCTATACTGCTTGCGAGCCGCGATGATGTTTCGCAGCTGGGTCCGCACTTCTTCAATTTCAGGGCGGCGGATGTTTGTTGCAAGCTGATAGCCTCCGCGGATGGCCTTACCCTCAGCGTCCCTATAGGCAGGGTTGCCCTTGCCGAAGGCCGAGTGTTCCCCTTTTCGGCGTCTTGGGTCATTATACGGAAGCAGCTGGCCCCTCGCCTGAGAGCGTGTTCTTTCGGGCCAGCCTGCCTCCACTCACGAGGAAGCCGAGCCTGTGGATGTGGCTCTCCTCTGACACGTGGATGGGAACGGGATCTTCCAGCATTCTCATCAGAAGAGGCTGCCGAAGCAGCCTGAGTGGTAACCGGCGGAGGCGCCTGCGGAGGCTCTTGTGCGATCACAGGTGGATCGGCCACATGAGGCAGGTTTCCCTGCTGGCTGGAGCTCGGCGCATATGGCGCTTGTGCCGATGGTGATGGTACTTCAGGCTCGTCGGGATCAAAGTCCACCTCTACCTCTCCGTTGACTTCCATCATGAGGATTGTGGCTTCGTCCTCGCTTAGCCCGCAACCATCGCCCTCTTCTTCTTCTGATGTAGAACTGCCCATAATGATTGCCATTGGCGCAGCTGGGACAGGCAGGTTTCCCTGCATAGCCGGCGTCTGTGCGTCGCTCGGCTGCCCCGGGTTGGGCGGCGCGGTTGTCGGCTCAGGCTCGTTGCCGAGCACAGGCTGCCCGGCAATGTTGCGCATGGCCGTATGGTTTGGCCACAGTCCCACCGCCTGGAGACCCCATCCTGGCGGAGGAAGATCATGGCCGCGCATGGCGATAGCCATTTCAAGAGCATTCCGCCATCTCCCGCGGGAGTATATCAGGTGTCTCTGCACGTCCTCAGGATGCACGCTGTCAATGAGGGTCAAAGCTGCCAACAGCAACTCCGAGCTACCGCAGGCGTCGGTATCCTGCAGCATCATGATGTCAGCTTCGATGTTCTCTTGACTCTCGGGATATGCGATGATAAGTATCTCGTGCATCCTCATGAGGGTTTGCAGGAGTGTATGTGGTCCATATTCGCCTGGAGCAAGCGAACCAGGGGGTGCAAATGGGATCTCTGGTTCACCTGCAATGAAAGCTTGAACGAACGCCTGAGATTCCATATCTATTAGTTCTCCGTTAGTTTGGGGATAGGTAGGCCTGTTTCCAGGCGGGAGTTCAGGTGGAGGTTGGAGGTTGCGTTCAACCTCGGAAGGCGAGGCCTCCACAGTGATGTCCTCGTCACTGCTTTCGTAAGCCATGATGTTACCTGGGTGCCCGAACATCCAGTCGAAGAAGGAAAGAGGCTGGTTTCCCAGCGTACCGTGATCCACGGGAGTGAGCTCGTTGTTGCCAATAACGAACCGACGGACGTACTCGAGGTAGTACGCGTACAATCCATGACCATACGCCTCGAGTTCGTCGACGTTGTCCATGCAGCTGACCCAAGTGTAAAATCTCTGTTCCATGGCCTCAAAATCCTGGAGGCTCAGATATTCGATGAATGGTTCACTTGAGCCAAAATTGACTTCAGTCGACCTGCCCTTTCCATTTCCCTTCGCTGGACAATCTCGCACAAGATGGTCGGTACTGTCGCATTCATGGCATTTAAGAACCTGGCCGTCTCTACCTCGCGGGTTTCCCCGCCTACCCTTGCCTTTTCCTGAGGTCTCTCTACGGCCCTTGCCACGGCCCTTTCCCCCAAAGAATATCTCATCATGTTGTTCATCTGAAAGCCTCTGGAGAAATGCCGTGATGCCTCGTCCGTTCAACCTCCGACGACCTCGTTTACCTTTACCTTTTCCCTTGCAACTCCTCCGTATCCTCCTCCTAACACGACGCACTGGTTTTCGTGTGAACCTCCTCCACCTCCGTTTGGCCTGTTGTAATAACCAGAACAAATGTTCAGCACGCTGATTGTCATTATTCATATTCATAATATCTGACCAATCTAAAGCTTCAACACCGTCTGATGATATAGTATCTGTGTCGGTGCCGGAGTCGAAATCCTCGTCTCCCAAGTAGGTGGATACACCGTCGGTGAGGGGGTTTGATTCACCCCATAAGGAACGGTGTGGTTGTGGTTCTCTAGAAGGAGGGCTGGCTGCCCAGCTTGGTTGTGATCGATCTCCTGCTAGTAGAGCAGTGGATTCTCCAGGATCATCGGCCCATATGCTTGAGGGCCCGTTCCCAGGCTGGGCTTCAGTAGTGTGGAAATTTCCACTACCAGATCCCCTTCCCCTTCCAAACACGGATCCTATATTGCCAGGAGACCGTTCAGATAGGTGGCCTATCGAACGCATCCTCTCCAGCAACTCATCATACTGTTGTTGTGTTCGGGGCATTTGGTGATTGAAGGGCTGTCAGAGTTGCATGGCTCGCTGGTTGCCGACGCCTAAGGCGCGGAACAGGATCGTGGTTAGTAGTTGGAAGTTGGGAAGGTCAAGTCCCACCGACTGTGCCTCAAGTCGGGCCATTTCGAATCGGGTAAGGGTGACGTCGATTCGTTCCCCGTGAGGCACGTGGAAGTCGATGAGTTGTGTGCGGGAAGTGAGCTGGCGCTCATCTTCTAGGCGCTCGAACTTCATGCTTAAGAGGAACATGATGTAGGTCGCTGGGTCGGTGTGGACCCCATCGATGTCAGCACCATAATTTATGATGTCAGGCGGTACCCTCATGGCGAGTGTCCTCGCTAGGCCACCTAGGCCGCGTTGTATGGCGGCCGCTTGGGCCTGTGGCGTCATACGTCCGCTTGTGACGTTGGGCCATGCGTTGACCTCATAAACGTACTCGCGGAAAAGTACGTTGCCTTGAGGGTCCCAATATGGGCCATGTGTTTGCCCATCGGTGCGGTTGTCTCCACGACGCATGTGTCCGATTGCTGCCCCCAGCGCGAACCATATGATAGCGAAGATAACCAGCCCAAGGCTGTGTAGATAAAGGCGGTTATTAGGCGCGTTGCCGCGCTGGGGTAGCGCCTTGTTGAGTCTTCGAGGCGCTCTATCTGGCGGATCTCTCCGCCCATGCTTCAGGTATTGCGCTTTTGGCTCGTTGCCGAGCGGTTGGTAATAGCGCAATGATGAAGCGTATATAGTACCGATATCGTTGTCTAGACGTCGCACCTCTCGTGTCGCTTCTTGCTCTTGGATAGATCCTCGTAAACGTACTGGGAGTGATAGCGCAGGGTGGTAGGTGGTCACGAAGATCGTGCCGAAGAGTATGAGGCTAAGAAGAGCAAGAGCTGACCACACGAGAGTGCGGCCAGCTCCGCTACCAAGTCGAAAGTGAGCCTGGTAACTCAAATAGCATCCGATTCCGTAGACATCGGATGGCAAATAGCGTCCGGTATCGTACTGACGTGGTTCAGTAAGAGGAATGGACGGATAAGATAGGATAAGATCGATGTATCGGTCTTTCCAGCACATAGCGAACACTCGCGGTGTCCGGGCAAATAGGGCGCGCGTGCCTTGAGCCAAAGGCAACGGCGCGCGAGCTATGCTCCCGATACTATAACATCTCCCAAAGACCTACCCTTAAAGTTCCTCCTCCTCCTCCTCCTCCTCCTCGGGTCGCCTACGGCCTTGGGTGAAACCGTGCATTTGGCCCTGTCTCTTGTTGTATTTCTGATGGGCCTTGGAAGCTTCAGGACAGCCCCGAAGAGGGCCCAAGGGGGGCGCAAGAGGGACCCAGCCCCAAACGTTCCCAGGATCATGGCAAGATATTCCTAAGAAGCTTCCAAGAGGCTCCGAAAATGCTGAAGAGGGCTCTTGAGCCCCCCCCTGCCAGAGATGTTCCCACATGCCCGTAAGTGGCCACAAGACGCCCCAAGAAGGCTTCAAAGGGCGCCGAGACATCCCCAGTGACTCCCAAAAAGTCCTCGGGAGGCCTCAGAAATCACATGAAAATCACAACAACTGAACATATGGCGCAACATAGTCTTAGTCATGCTCCCCACTGCTTTCCACTAAGGCTGGACAACCCAATCACTTGGTCGAAATCTGACTTCACGCTTGACCGCAAAGATGCCCCCCCCGAAAGGCAGGGTGACGGTAGTTCGCCAGAGGCGGCTTCGATAACGCTGCTGGCACATGACGAGCAACACAACATTAACACTTGCCTATTGGCGCAAGCGTATGCTCGCTCACGGCAGGCCGCATGCAGACACAACAGCCCTCAGAGCCGAGACCGCAGAGAAGCAAGGCCTCGGGCCCGACACAACAAGTGACAAAAACAGCCTGCGCGGCAGGAAAGCTGCTCGCGCGCAGGAAGCAAAAGCCCAGACATCCGGCTGCTCCAACTTCTTACGCGTGGGCCCCAACAAGGTCCCGACCACTTCCCCAGGGCCGGTTATTCGCCTGGAGCCGTTTTTCGACGCGCCCGAGGCCCGGCGAGGGCCCCCAGAGGCCGAAACCACCCAAAACCGCCTGCTGCCATTTTTGTTGGAGCGTCGGATCTCTGGGTGGGGGACGCCAACGGACTTCCTCACCGAGCGGGGCCTCCTCCTTCTCCTCCTCCTCCTCCTCCCTCCTTCCTCCTCCTCCTCCTCCTCCTGGGCCAGGAGCGGGGTCCTGAGCCTTCCTGGCCAAGCCAAGACGGCGTGTACGCCGCTCCCGGGCCCAAAACGTGGGCCTGGCCGAGCTCGGCGAGGTGGTCGGTTGACGTCCCTCGATTAAAGGCGAAGCCAGGACGAGGATCATTCAGAGGCGACGATAGGGGCGAATAGCCCAGGGGAGAGCAATACATGTATCCAAGTGCGCCGATGACTTATGTCTTCGAAAAGGCTCCTGGGCGGATACGTGTAATGCTCGCCCCTGGGCTATTCGGCCCTCGCCGCCGATCAATTCGAGTGAGGATGCATCGGGAATCTCTGAGAGCTGGCGGCTCTGGAGGATGCCTCGGGCGCCGCGGCCTTCTCAGAGCGCCCCAGAACGCGCTCTCGAACGGAGTTAAATCCTCGTCCCGGCCCCGTCGGTTGACGTCCCTCGATATTAGGCTCAGGTCGGGCGTGTCCCCCACAGGGGGATTTCGGACGAACATAAATAAAACATAGTCAACAAAAATACCCCAAACATATCAAACAATAGTCACAACATGGCCCCCAGACTACTGATTGACCATGTCGGAAAACTCCTCTTATGTTGCTCCCATCGTACTTCAGGACCGCATCCCAGAAAGAATTTCGAGCACCCGGACAAGGGTCGCAAGAGTGCGGAACCAGTGTCTGAAAAACAGTGTCGGACGAGCGTCTCCCAGGGCCCGACGCGTGCAAACCCCCTCGGGCTTCGGTCCTTTTTTCTTGGTGCTCGACATTCTTCCTAATACTCCTCCTGTAGAGGCACAGGCCCGACTCCGCATTAGGCGCCCTCACCGCTCCGGCGCCACTGGCCCCCCCCCGCAGGGCGCCACGGGCCCGGGGTGCCGCCGCCCCGCCCGCCCGCCGCCCTGCGCCGCGGGGGCGGGCGCCGGCGCGTCCGCCGCCGCCGCCCCGCCGAGGGGCGCCGCGAGGCTGCGGAGCCACGGCTTGGCCATCCTCGGGTGAGACAGAACTGGAAGTCCCCTAGGTGGCGAAGTCGAGCCTTGGGAGGAGCCTTGGGAGGAGGAGGGAGGAGGAGGGGAGGGAGGAGGGGGAGGAGAGGAGGGAGGAGGGGAGGAGGGGGAGGAGGAGGAGGAGGAGGGGGAGGAGAAGGAGGCGGAGGAGGAGGGAGGGGGAGGAGGGGGAGGAGGAGGAGGAGGAGGAGGAGGAGGAGGAGGAGGAGGAGGAGGAGGAGGAGGAGGAGGAGGAGGAGGGTGGGGGTGCCCCCGCTCGGCGGGGCCGCCAGAACCAGGGTCGGTCGGAGTACCCAAACCCCATCGTGTAACGAGCAAACGCATGACAGGAGACTTTTCCATATTCTTTCGGCCATTGGGGGCCCGTATAACGGGCCTCGAGGCCGTCAAAAATACGACTCGGCATGGAGATGCGGTCCTGGAGAATGGGTCGAGACCTCTGGGGGTCGACGTCATGAACAAATCATGACGTCGGGGGTCTGGGGGTGGGATCGGAGGATCGTGCCCGCATCGCCGACACATCGGCGATGCGTCGACGATGCATCGCCGATGCACGGGTGATGCATCGTCGACGTGGGCTACTCAGGTGAAGCCCCCTAGGTGGCATAATCGAGCCTTGGGAGGAGGACGAGGAGGAGGAGGAGACGGAGGAGGAGGAGGAGGAGGAGGAGGAGGAGGAGGAGGAGGAGGAGGAGGAATAGGAGGAGGAGGAGGGGGAGGAGGAGGAGGGGGGAAGAGGAGGAGAGGAAGAGAGGAGGAGGAGGAGGAGGAGGAGGAGGAGGAGGAGGAGGAGGGGGAGGATGAGGAGGAGGAGGAGGAGGAGGATATTACCAGGAGATTACCACTGAGGACCAGTGTCCTTGCAACTAGAGAAGATGTGCACCCACATCAAAGAAGAGATCGGGCCACTTCAGGCGCCCCCTGGGGGCACGGGTGCAGGCCCTTGGAAATTCGCACGAGGTTGCACTGACCCTTCTTGGACCGCGCCGCACCCGTGGCGGCGGGCCCGCAAGGCCGCGAGAGGTGGCGTCCGTCAAGGGTCGCAGTGAAACCACATAACATACAAAATTTTAAACTCATGTGATCCCAGGACCAAATCTGATGTCCAGGGTCAACCTTTCGGCCTCCCACCCAAACCGTCCCCGACTCCCGCCGAATGGTGACCCCAGACATGTTGGGGGTAGTGGCGGAGGAGGAGGAGATGGGAGGGGGGCGGCACGGCCTCCTCGCGGCCGCCTCCAAGGCGGTGGCGGTGGCGAGCTCGCCACAGGTGGAGCACCTCCACCTGCCACCTGCGCGTTGGAAAGCGTGGGTGGAGTCCCGCAGCACCTGTACTCTGCGGGAGATGCGCTGGCGTGGCACTGCTGGGCCCGCCCACTCACCTTCCCAGGGGTCCACGGCGGCAGTGTCCTGGAGAGCCTGGGACGCACGACGACGGACGAGCCAGGCAACGACGTCTAGCTCGTCCGTCCTGGGCACTTCCTTAAGCTCGGTGGCTAACTGGAACCCGCGGGCAGCAGCGTCACAGGCGAGGCCATCAGCCACGGCGTTTCCAAAAGACAGGAAAGCTTGCCAGAGAGTGCGAATTCCCCCTACCTCATCTTCGAGGTGGGAGGGGGTCCAAAAAACACGGACAGGGTGAGGCCTCTGAGAGTACGCCTGACGGATCCCCACCCACAGGTCAGAATTTTGCTCCTTAGGAGCCTTCCGATCACCCCTACCCGACTGCCATGCTCTATGCAGGGGGAGGTGGTCGGTGATATAATCGAGGGGGCCGTGAGCCAACTCCAAGGCCAGACAGACAGCAAGCAGCTCCGCGCGGGGGACCGTCTGTCTGGGGCCCACCAGAGGCGCAGAGGCCGCCCAAACAGTGCTCCACGAAAGATCGGCGACAGGGTCCGCGTGGAGAATGGCAACTCCCGCCCCGCAGCGCCGACGCCGAGGATCACTGGAGTACTCTCCTCCAGATCCGTCTCCAAAGACAACTAGGGGGCCCTGGAGGGGATCCGAAACTGCAGCGCTGGGGTTCCCCATAAGAAGCAGCCCTTTCTCAAGCACAGACTCCTCCGAAAACTCAGGCGCAACCTGCTTCTCGGGGGGGGGCCCACGGAGCCAAAGGCTGGGCTCGCTCTCATGTGAGGCGACTGCACGGGCGATGAGGCTGTCACTTTTTCTGTACGCATCATGATGACAGTTGGCTGGACACAGCCATACACGGTGCAGGAGCGTCTCAGGCTCCCGCCCACACCGTCTGCAGAGCGGGTCCGTGGCGTAGCCCTGTGCACGTTGTCGTTCACGAGTCCACTGGCCTCCAGCTACCACTGTCAAAGTGGGGCCCCAGTTCTCCATGTCCTGCTTGCGTTCGAACCTGTCGAGCTCGCGCTTGATCTGAGAGAAATCAGCTCCATATTGTAGGTCATGTGCTCCCTCAAATTGACTGGCCTTCCTCCAGAACTGGTGTCGGAGGTCTGCCGTGAATTCTTGTAGCATATCGTGAAGATCGACCTGCAGGTACTGAGGTGTGCCCACTCTGGGGAAAATCCACTCAATGCCCGCACTGGTCCGAGTCCAAACTTCTGGTTGCTTACATTCCCAGCCTGCATGGACGAGGGTGGCAATCACTGCAGCAACTGGGCCACGGACTCTCTGCCATCTGGCCCTGCCATCCACCGCTACAGCATTGTGTATTCGCAACCATGCCCACCGAATGGGATTGTGATATTGTGGATTGTCAAACCATAGGCGCAGCCATGCCTCCAATAATTGACGAGGTAGTTCGAGTCCTGGGTCGCGCTGAGCAAGGGTCGCTTCCAGCACCGAAGTCAGACACCTGCCTCGCTTAGTACCTGCAATGGCCGACGCTGCCTGGCGCCTGACCTCCAACATTGTGCTGGGAGCCGTGCCAAGAACATGATGGCCATAGCAACCCTGTGGTAAAACTCCCGTGGTCCAAAGTGAGCTGCAGACTCTTCGGACTCTGGGTCCGAGACGGCGAAGGCGAAGGACACGACCATGACGTCGTCGAGCTGCTGCGAGACGTTGGTTAGCCTTCTTCTTTATTCTCCTGCGCCCCGCACTGACGTCGATGCCCAGGTCCGTGGCCGCCAGCTTGTAGGATACTGGGATGCCAAGTCGTCTCATAATCCTGGCCATGCGCAGGCCCAAAGACTTGGACGACGCGATCAAATCTGTTTTGTCCGAAACAATCAGCCTGTGCTCTAGGAATGGCGCTCTGAACTCAGCTGCAACCTCCGTCATATTAGCAATAACAATTTCTTCATCGTCATTCTCCTCACGTGCAACGGTGTCATCTATGTAGGTGGCCAACATCGTCTGCGGGGCAACCTTGTGGACCCTCTCGAGGATTGGGTGGAGAAAAACCTTGGCGAGTTGGACCCCTTTGGGGCTGCCTGCCACCAACGATCTGGTGACGATCAGGAGGTCGCTCGCCCACTGCTTGAGCTTGAGGATCCTTGGGGCGATGCACATCTGCACCTCCATGAGTACAACAATGGCTGGATACCCCACTTTGATGGCTGTGCGCATAAGGATGCACAGCGATACACTGTCGTAGAACTTCTCCAGATCTAGAAGGAGGGTCAGGAAATGCTTCTTGTTGACCATCCCCACTTCGTCGAGAAGAGATCTTAGCATGGCGGCCCGCAGGGCCGAGGACCCCGCCAGGGCCGTGTCCCAGAAGTCACTTAGCCCTTTGGACCATTCTGCAGCTGGTCCGACTCGGGTCTGACTCCAAACCTTTCCCGTGGTGGAGGAGGAGGAGGAGGAGGAGGAGGAGGAGGAGGAGGAGGAGGAGGGAGGAGGAGGAGGAGGAGGAGGAGGAGGAGGAGGAGGAGGAGGAGGAGGAGGAGGAGGAGGAGGAGGAGGAGGAGGAGGAGGAGGAGGAGGAGGAGGAGGAGGAGGAGGAGGAGGTGGAGGAGGAGGAGGAGGAGGAGGAGGAGGAGGAGGAGGAGGAGGGGGAGGAGGAGGGTGGGGGTGCCCCGCTCGGCGGGGCCGCCAGAACCAGGGTCGGTCGGAGTACCCAAACCCCATCGTGTAACGAGCAAACGCATGACAGGAGACTTTTCCATATTCTTTCGGCCATTGGGGGCCCGTGTAACGGGCCGCGGGGCCGTCAAAAATGCGACTCGGGATGGAGATGCGGTCCTGGAGAATGGGTCGAGACCTCTGGGGGTCGACGTCATGAACAGATCATGACGTCGGGGGTCTGGGGGTGGGATCGGAGGATCGCGCCCGCATCGCCGACACATCGGCGATGCGTCGACGATGCATCGCCGATGCACGGGTGATGCATCGTCGACGTGGGCTACTCAGGTGAGAAGGAGGAGGAGGAGGAGGAGGAAGAGGAGGAGGAGGAGGAGGAGGAGGAGGAGGAAGTGGAGGAGGATGAGTGAGGATCAAAGACGGGGCTCACGCGAGGTGGAGGAGGTGGAGGAGGATGAGGAGGAGGAGGAAGAGGAGGAAGAGGAGGAGGAGGAGGAGGAGGGGGAGGAGGATCAAAGACGGGTCTCACGCGAGGTGGCGCAGCGACCTTCCGCGGCGGCTTGCGCGGGCCGCCCGCGCGGCACGCCAAGTGGAGACGAGGGCGCCCGCGCGCGAACGTGTCGGCGCCGACGACTTTGTTTTCGTCGCTCAGGCGAAGAAGGGCGGGAGTTAGCCAGACAGGGTTGTATAGCAGAAGGAAGGACGCCACAGACAGGAACTTGTGGCGCTCCGCGCGGGTTTCTTGGATCTGCGCCGGACACCCCTCCCCGGCGCGTGGAGCGCGCCAGGGGCGGCGCCGGGAGCGCCGCCGGGGGGGGCCAGCGCGGATCCAAGAAATCCACGCGGAGCGCCAGCAGTTTCTGGTGATGGTGTTTTTTCTTTTTCGTCTTGAGTCGAAGCCAGGACGAGGCTACAATC